TCTCTCTCTCTCTCTCTGTGTCCAGTACTAACCTGTGAAGTTGGCATCTTGATGCACGTACCACGAAGATGGAGCTGGAGCGATGGCGCCACAGGTAAGTATCACTGGCCTCCGCCAGTCTCTCTCTCACTCTACGATCTACCACCTACCAGCGCCCAGCGCTGAAGACTACAGCTACAGCTATGGCGCCCAGCGCCGAAGACTACAGCTAGCGCTAATACCACCTAGCGCTGAAGACTACTGCACCGCTCCTCCTGAGTGCTGCGGCCGAAATCCTGAAGACTACCTCGTGCCTACTGAACTACCTACCCGTGAAGTGCCTAGCACAGTCCTATGTACTACCAGGGTGCCTCCTGACTGCAGGCGAGCAGTCCAGGAGGCTGCTCTTGCCAATGCCGATCGGAGGCAGGGGCTGCCGCTGCAGCTCCTGCTCAAACTCGAGGAACAGGCTATTCTTGGCCTGTTCCGCATCCCTGTTTACGTGCCTGAGACTTAGGGGCAGGTCGAAACAATGAGGGCCTGAAAATGGCCCTCCGTTTCAGGCTGGAAAGACTCTGGGTCTGAAACACCCAGAAATAGGCTGAAACGGAGTAAGGCCTGCAGGCCCTCGTTTTTCAGCTTTCAGGCTGAAACGAACGGGGCCTGTAAGCCCTAAGTTTTAGGCTTTTAGGCTGAATGTCCGGGACGTGACCTGCAGGGCACGTGTGGCTACGCAGTATGCCACACGGCCCCAGCCTTGCAGAAAGTTTTTGTCGCCACAAGCAAAACTCGGAGGCGCCGTGCGGCCAGGCTGGCCGTTGGAAAAAAAAAGCGGCGGCCTCCAAAGTGGGGCAGTTTTCGTGCTGACACCCACGGGCCGATGTGTAGCGTACTGGTGCTTTAAGCTTCCTCGTTGCTATAGGTAGGTAGTGTTTAGTTTTTGACCCTCAAAACACTGTAGTTGGCCTTCGAAACATGGAGCCGGGTTCCTTGCTGGGTGGGTTGCCGTGCCCCTTGCACGTCCGGAAGGTGGGTAGACCAGTTCGAGTACACAGCCCGAGGTGGGTAGTGTGAGACGGAAAATAATAAAATAATGAGAGAAGAAAATAGTGTAGGAAAGTGCAGCTGTCCCCCCATATGAGTAGGCAGCTTGCATGTTTTTCAAAATAGGAAAAAAAAAAAAGCTGCATTTTTTTTAAATAGAAAAAAAAATCTCTTTAAAAAATAAAAATAAAAAAAATCAGCAAATGCCAAAAATATCTAAGTGGCCATCCAGCACCCTTCCGAGAACAGAACCCGCACTGTGTTTTCGGGAACCCCTCCAAGAGAACCACCACTCTGTGTTTTCGGGAACCCCTGCAAGAGAACCGCCACTCCGTTTTCGGGAAAACTTGCAAGAGAGGGCCACATCCTTGCACACATGTGGTTAAACGGAGGGTTAATTTTTTTGGCCGAACTTTTACACTGGAACAGTGCACTATGGGCCCATATAGTTTGTTTTTGAAATTTTCGCTGAATTTTGCACCGAAACTGTAGGTGAAAAC